TCAGTTCAATCCCCAGTAGCACAAGAAAAAATAAGTGCTTAGCAAACAGAAATCCCTCTCTGACTACCCCTGGCAGCCAGCACACACCCACCATTCCCAGGTGTCCACCTTGTTCATGCTTGAACCATGATGGCAGTGCCTACTTAATGTAGACATCAGTGCTGTGCTATATAGGGAGTGCCTCGGTACTCAAAGTTGGGAGGAGTGGTTGAAATTGGCGAGTAACTCTGTGCAAAGAAAGATCTACTTATGGCAGTGCCGTGGTCTCAAGAGTAGGGAGAATCCCTGTGAGGGTAAGAGAAGATTGATGGCGGGGGTTGGGGGGTGGAAACTGCAGATGAGGACACAGTCTGCGGGGTCCCCAAAGCAGAGAGGTGTCAGGGACTGAGAGGACTGTGTTTGAACATGTTGACTCCAGATGGGGCTACATCTAGGATGTGAGGAGGAAGGAGGCTGGCCCAGAGGGTAAGGTCTTTGAGAATGAAGCTAGGGATCTTGAACTTGACCCTGAGGCAATTAGACATCAAAAGCACATGAGTGATGAAGAAGAGGTTTGGCACTTAGGAAGAGAAATGCAGGGCTAGAGAGCAAATGCCAAAGGGACCCAAGTGTAGAGCTGAGACTCTGAGAAACATCAAGACAGATCTTCCGTGGCAGTTACCTTGCAAAAATAGAACAGCTGGTTGAAATTGGACAGAGAAGAAGATGTGAAAGTTAGGGCTAAGGATCTGTAGGTGAGTGGAATTGTGGGAGGGGAAGAGGTGATTTCTACCTCTACAAAGGAAGAGTGAGTGTGGGCGGGGACATTCTGTTATGCAGGTGGCAGATAATAACTATCAAGTGCTTGCTGCATGTCAGCCTCATTTTACGGGCTGGCACGTATGTCACTACCTTCAGACAAGCCATGTGAGGCAGGCTCCTCCATCCCCATTCTGTATGTAAGATCCACAAGGCACAGCGATGCATTGGGACCTGCTTAGGTGGGAGCCAGCCTCCATGATGGTCCTATTGTCCATCTGCCTGCTTCACAGCCATTTAGGAGCCTCCCACACTGCACCAGGGGTGGTGTAAAATCAGCACCCTTGGGTGACAGAAGTGATATGCCTTGTGTTCACCTCTCTTGGACCCCTCACACCAGGGAAGCCCTAGGGGAGAAACTCACTTGGCAGTGCAGAGAGAGCTGTGGGCAGGACCCAAGTGCAGTGCAGGAGTTTGCAAGTGAGTTCTCCAGCCCCAGCCCCAACTCCATGATTGCAGACCACTGAGAGCTCGACTCAGGCCTTTGAGATCATAGGCTTAAGTGTGCCCCTGGTTCTTGACCCTCAGAAGGTGGAAACTGTCACCAGCATTTGTTCTTTGAACTGTTGAATCCTGGACTTGTTGATTGTGCAGCATTGACGGCTGACACGCCAGGCCTCAGCTCCGGGCAGGATCAGCACGACTGAAAATGTTGCACTCTGGAGACTGCCCAGGCTGCCTCCAGGAGCTGACGTGAAGAACACATGTTGAGGAGCACGGTTTTGCCACTCAGCAGGACAGAGGGGTTGAGGCCAGCTTGGGGGGAGACTGCCTACACACCTGTCTAGGTGACCATTAGTGGGGACACCTGGAGCATTTGAAAAGAGGTCAGAGGTAAGCTGCCGGTGCAGGTGCCAGCGTGTGGACACAGCACATGTTACACGGAGTAAGGATGCAAGGAGAGGAGCTGTTAGCAGCTGCAGCATGTCATCATTACTTTTCTGGGGCTCCTCACTTTTTAGTCCAGCCTGGGCAACTCGGCAGAAGATTGTGGTTACAACAGCGCCAGAAGCCTCAGATTACCAGGAAGGAGATTTGTGTGTGTGTGTGTGTGTGTGTGTGTGTGTGTGTGTGTGTGTGTGTGTGATTGCAGTAGCGATTTTCACAAGTCTATGAAAGCATCACTTTAATCATACCTCACAGTAGGAGTTAATCTATCTAAATATGCTCTAAAAAAGGCCCTCAGTATTACTTTTAAAAGCACAGGAAGTTATTCAGATCCTTTAAAGTCAAACAAGAGAATGATTATTTTCACTGTGCTGAGCTTGAGAACTGTTCAGAAGAAGACGCCAAAGAGGTGGCCCAGGTCTCTGACACGGACCAAAATCAACTCAGCCAGAGAAAAGTCAAGTTGCATTTCAAATCTAGAGATTTGTCTTCCTCACTCCTCTGTGCTGAGTACCACCCTCTTGCCCTCTTATCCCCTGAAGCAGCAGCAGGGCTGTATATCCAGGCAGGTGTTTGAAGAACACTTGCTGCAGCCAGGCCTTGAGCTCAAAACCAGACATGTGGACACCTACGATAAAGTCCGGCTCTGCTAGCAGCTCTGGTCTGAATGTTGATAGAGCACCAAAACTCATTCACTGGAATGTGTACCTAGTGGGACAGTGTGGAGAGCACAGGCCCCTGGGAAAGTATGGGCCATGAGAGTGCTACTCCCTGGAATGGGATTCCCATCCTTATAAAAGAGGCCAAGCAAGTGCCCTTCTGCCCTACCTCTGTGTGAAGACCCAAGAGGGGCCATCTCTGAGGCACACCAGGACCCAGTACACCCTGGATCTGCAGGAATCTCAATTGCATTCTCCTCAGGCTCCACAATGAGCAACAAAATTCTGCTATTCACAAATCACCTAGTTTAAAGTCTCATTGTTCTTTTTGTTTTTCTTTATGGGATACTGCACAGATGCAAACAAAGGCTGTGAAGCCAGAGGAAGGACAGACAAGGAAGCTGGTGCCTGTGCTGCGGTGACAACTTGGTCAGGGGACAGGTATGGGCTGGGGTCTGTGGCGAGTCACTGAGGGTGAGTGTGAGTTGGCTAGAGTCTCAGAATTCCCAAGCCACTAAGGTGGTGTCCATATTCCCCAGGGTTGGTGGGAGTGTTGAGCTGGGTGGGTCATAGGTGTGCAGAGACCCTGCTTTCCCCTGGGCTTTGCCACTGCTCCTAGGACAGGTATGTACATTATCATTTCCTTTATGGGCTGCCATTGGTTAAAAAGTTGCATATGAAAAGGTGGGCACAAGATCCAGGGCATTTGAGAAGCCATAAGCAGAAGCTGGTGCGCTATAGACGAATCAGCTATGTGGTGGGGGTGCTGTGACCACTCATCAACTTCACTGGATGAAGGAATGTTTAGCAGCTGAGCTGAGCACGTTCCTTCCTGTGTCTGGCCCCTCACCCTGTCCTCTCGGGCACTGTTCTCTTGCTGTGCTTCTCAGCTAAGCAGCTCTGCGCCATCTCTGCCTTGAAGCCAGCCAACTTGGACGGAACCCCCAAATCGTGAGCTAGATGAAACATCTCCACCTTTATGTTGTGGGTGTTGGGGTGTTGTTTCTGAAACAGGAAAGCTAATACTTGTGGTGTTAGAGGGGCTGATTGCAGGGCCTAGACTCTTCTACTTGGTGGCCAAAGCACCCATTCTAGGGTTAGTGAAGACTTGGAGACTTGGCTCCCCCCGCCCACCAGTAGGAAGGCTTCCCACTTAACTACCCTCTGGGGCTGTCACAAAGCCAAGTGGAGACTCAGGATTTCATGTGCCACTGCTCAGGAGAAAAGAGGTTTCCATCCCTATGCCATGCCAAAGGAGCTGGCAGGACTGGCAGAGGCTACCAGGGGCCAGAAGTCCCAACCCTGGCCAATCCTTATACGTTCTGGGTAAACAGAGGCTGGGAGAAAGTGAACACCCTTGAGAGTACCAAGAAGGCAGCTCCTCTCCCTCAGCCCAGCAATGTCAAGGAGGCCAGTGGAAACAGATTCATATCTTGTACCTCATAACATAAATATCCCAAATGTCCATGCTGCGGGTGAAAATCACTCATTCAGTCAATATATAGGAGATCTCAGATGGCATTGACAAGATGACACAGGAAGAGCTTCCTGGTGGTCAGTGCAGAGAGGTAGGTGGGGTCAAGCCAGGGAAGGACTTGGGTGACAGCTGAATCTGTAGGGATCCCTGAGGGACTAGATCATGATGGGAGGTGTGCTGTTTAATGCCATGAGTCTCGGTGCTGTGTTCAAAGCCGCTCAGAAGCCTGTTCTGGCTCCAGCACGGAGATCAGCACCCAGCATATGAGAGGTTCTCAGGAACCACACATTTAATGATTCAGGTAATGGAGGGGCTTCACGTATAGATTTACAACCAGCATCAATGAGTTGGAAGGTGACGATGTTACGTTCTTTTCCATTGACTGTAGACTGCTTATATTCTCAAGTTTCTATTTGTGGAAAGTTAATTTCAAACAAACAGGTGCAGTTGGCTGACGACACGCTGTCCCTGTTCCTGCAGTACACACCTGCTGAGGGGATGTCCTCCAGCACGCAGGCCCGTGTGTGCATTTCTGACAGGTCTGAACTGCCAAGGTGGAGTGTCAGGGCACATCACAAGAGGACAAGGGCGTAAGTTAAACTACTTCAGTTATTCTGTGGTTAACACGATGTCCCAATTGTGGCAGGCAGTAAGAAGTTAATGCTCCGAGGAAACAGGTCTCTAAGGTAGGAAAGTGACAATTTAACAATGCGAGATGAGATTGTTTTTGAAATTCCAAGATTAGGAAACATGTTGTGAGCTTCTAGCTAAAGAAATAAAATACATCCTCCCAGGGTGTACTGAATTAAAATCACAAAGCACCAGTGAATGATGAAAAGGAAAGGAACAGAGTAATACTGTCCACAGGGATCGTGACCTTTATGTTCCACAACCAACTGAGGAGAGGCTTGAAAAGCAGGCTCTGCTTCCCAGAAAAGCCTTTATAATTAACCTTGTATGTGACAGAGTAGTTTTGGCCTAAAATTTTCATACTTTTTGGCCCATAGCTGAGACTTATAAATTATTTTCAAATCGGTAATATGTGTAGACTCGCAGTTTGCTGCAGTGAGCTGCAGCTGTCCATATTGTCAGGTGTGCAGAATTCCGAGGTGTGCTGAAGCCACAAGACCGTGTTTTTCTATGTTTCTATTAAAGTAGAAGAGATTTCAACAGGCAGCCTTTATTAATGATTCTACAAATCATTCTTTTTTGTTATTAGGAGACCATAAAATAAGACTGATTTTCTTTTTAAAACAGGCCTTCTAAATTAAAAGCGTACTATTTCATAAAAACATTTCACCAAACAAAAATTTATGCAAAAATAATAATAATACGTCAAGATGACTTTCAAGTTCTCATGTAGATTCATTTACTGACTAGGCACAAGGGTGAGCTATTCTTCAGCAGTCCATGAACAGAAGCAGGGCTCCTGAAAGAGAGGAAAATGAAGTATATTAGCAACCACCCAAATAAGGAGTACACACTGTCCTGGAATGGCAGGGTTTAGGCAGAGGAAGCAGGCAAATGGAAATCTGATAGAGATAAGGATGGTTATGGAGAAAACTGTAAAACAGAATCATCGAATTAAGGACACAAGACATCAATGTTCAGTAAAGAGGGGTGAATAGTGAATTAGTGTGACAAAATGCTTTGGGCATAACAAGTGCTCCTCAGAGGTCTCGTGTGTTGGGCTGTGAGGTCTAGCCAGAGGAGTCCTCTCACTTCTCTCTCCTTGGCTACCATGTGGTGAGCAGCTTTGCTCCTGTATTTGAGGCTCCCTAGGGCTTGTCCCCCATCTCTCAGATACATGTCCCTGCAAGTGGCTCCTGCTACCCTGTATTCCAGCTGCTTCATAGCAGTACCCCAAAGGCAGGCTACCATTGCCTGGCCAACCACTCCACACCCCTTTCTGCCTGTGGTGGCTAATATTTTTCTCCTCCCTGTCTGCTTGAAAGATTCTGACTTTCAAAATATGATTCATTTTACCTTTTCTCTGAGTCCAAGCTCATTGCTTTTTTTCCTGTGTACCTTCTCTTCCTTTATCTGGGCTTTTATTCTGGAAAAGTCCCAGAGACACAGCAAGTTTTATGGGGCCCCCTGCATGGAGTATGAGCAGTGGTAGGCTGAATGAGATGCACACTATCTAAATGTTAACACCTTTAAAAGCTAAACACTGTAAATCTATGCATACTTGATTAATCAACAAGCATTGTTTCAATGTCTAGTGACTGAGTGTTTTAAGGCTTATAAAATGCACAAAATTCATTCATGACCTTCTGGGATTTTTCTAGGATTGGAAGGAATAACTCACAGTGTGAATACCCTACAGTGAAAATTTAGATGGTCCCTAACAGAATGCTTTGAGCAGAGGTGGCAGGATCTCTTGGTTAAAGGACAGAGAGGAGTATGAAGATTCGGTAAGATTCAGATGAGCAGAGCAGAGGAACAGGTGAGCAATGACACCGCAGAGTGAAGTGCCAGCAGGTCTTGTCTGCTCTGAGTACAACCCTGGACCTCCAGGATGGAGCCCGTCTCCTCACTCTGGTATATGTGCAAAGCTTAGCAGACTGCTACTCAATGAGACAGTCTTGAAAATACATATGCTAATGTAAACAGCTTCAGGAGTGAGGAAAACATGCACCTAAGGAAAGGCCAAGCTTATCTTCTGACAAGAGACAGGCACCCATGAGTGTTGCGCTGAGCCCAGTTCCCCTGCATTCGCTGTGTGAGCGAGGCCAACACACAGATGAGGTGCTGCACAGCAAAGCCCATCTGAGCCCACTGTTGGGCAGAGGAATCGTGTGCTGAGTCCTCTCAGAGGCAGTGCATACGCCCTTCACTCAGAGCTTGGATTTCCTTCAGAAATGCTCCATGAAGGTGCACGATGGCCTCTGTGTGCATGAGAGTAGCCTCTGGAAAATGCAACTGACCCTGCAAATCTCCTGAAGAAACAGAACCTGGAGATGCGTACAAATATATATATACAGGAACAGACATGTGAGTCTGCTCTTTTTAACACCACTTTTAACAGGAATAAAATACTGTAAACAAACATTTATCAGTACTGGTTCAAACTATGCCTCATTCATATATTTAAATAAACTAGAAAGTCAATAAAAAGATAGTTTTACAATATAAAATAAACTTTAAAATATACTCCAAAGTAAAATATGCAAAAAGTGATAAATTGCCTATCTGTCCCGCTGCCCATCGGTCTGTCTGTCTGTCTGCCCATGCCTTATGCATGGATTACCTCTGGAAAGACTAAGAAGAGAAAAAAAGAAAACAATGTGAATGGCTGCTTGTGGGTGCTGGGAGTAGGGCAGGAATCAAGGTCAATGTCTCACTGTAAATTTTCCTGGACTCCACGCCAATCACACATATTACCTATTTTGTTTTAAAAGGTGCATAACCTGGTTTTGCACTTTCGTGTTCCCACTGAAAAAGAAGATGATCACAGAAGTACCATGTCTCCTTTCCACTGAGAAACCAAAACTCATCTTGTACTGCTCAGCCCAGTGTCAAGAACTGCAAGCCCATCTGCTCTCTCTCCCCTTCCACACTGAGCACCTCATTAATTCCTGTTCTATTCTGAGCCAGGCATTATGATAGGATTCGAAGGTGCCAATTGAGGAAGGCGCTGCCCTTCCTTGAAGTTACCTAAAGTTCTGGAGTCAGACGCTGCTCTCCAGCGTAATGCCAGACCTGCACACTGCACACTGGGGTCTGATTATTTCCTCCAACCCCTTGTTTTGAGGGTCTTTGGGATACTAGGCTCTGTGTTAGGTGGCAGATGCACAGATTCCATTTGTAGTGGTAACTGAATGTCACATGTGTGTGAACATACAGGCTCATACATGTGTGTGAACATACAGGCTCACATATATGAATATTAGTTAACAATCTGGCATGATTTTATTCTAATTGAAGAAAGACCAAGTTAATGTATTAAGACCAAAGAAAACTTAGTCTATTTTTTCCACATTAAGACACACTAACCCATGTCATTCCTTTCATTTACTCCATTATGTTGCTATTCATTTTCTACTTACTAGTTGTTATGATTTGTGTCTACACAAAGCTTCATGCAGTCATAGGGCTATTTAGAGGTCAGTGATTCTAGAGTGTGTGATGTTGGGATTAAAGATGTATCACTACTAAATCAGCCCACTGGTTTGGCACCATCATATTCCTAGGAGTCTGGATAAGATATATGGGGCAGAAAGATGCCCCTGAACCTTCCTTCTTGCTTTCACTATTTTGTGGGTACCATGACTGTTATTCTCTGTTAGACACACTCTTCTAAGCTACCCTGCCTTTGAACCAGCTGATTATGGACTGAAACCTTTACAACTTGTAAGCTTAATAAATCTTTACCATTTTAACTTTAAGTGTTGGGTATTTTGTTTCAGCAATGAGAAAAGTAATGGCAGACTTTGGTACCAGGAGTAGGGTTGTACTTTGGTACCAGGGGTGGGGTTGTTGCCATGCAACTACCTTGCTATGTGGCTCAAGAGCCTGTGGAACTGGCTTATGGGAAGGGGAAGAGTTCGTAAAGATTCAGAGATGCTGGTTGAAAAAGTAGAGCTGTAAGACCTGAGGCACAAAATGTATGAGAGATTCTAGTCAGAGGTTAGAAAACCAGAAAGCTTGTAAAGACTAGGCACAGGAAGATTCTGCTTAGAAGAACTGTATTGGCTGCTGGTTTCTAGGTGATATGTGGCTTAGCAGAATGTGTGTAGTTTGCCCATGTTCAGAGACTTTACCTAAGACTAAGATTAAGGACAGTGTACTAATTAATCTTGTAGAAGAAATTTGAAGATAGTTGAATGTTGCAGAAGTGGCATAGCTACTGATGGAGGATTTTAGGAAGATTTATGTTGAGATTCAGGAGCAAACAGATCAGAAGAAAGATTTAATATGTTGCAACTTTACTCAGAGAGGAGGCACCAGTAAAGCTGTACACTGCAAAGACCAAGCAGAGGAGATCTTAATTGCTGAAAACGAACAGTACAATGAAAAAATGCCCTGAGAGTATCACAGGAACAAGCAGGACTTTACCCTTTGCAGCCTCACAATTCCAAAAGCAAAAGATTTTTCTTTAAGAAAATTCTGGAGCAGTATATCGCACAATGATAGAAATCTACAAAATTTGTTTGTTGGAATTAGATTCAGATTTCTCAGGGATCCAGGCACTCAAACCCAACAGGCAAGAAATAGGGAAGTGTGGCTACTGCTACAGCTGGCAGGAGACCTTGGCATCATCAATGTGGACATGTGGTGCTTGTTTTAGGTGCATGCAGAATAGAAGAGTTATGTGGTGAGGAAGACTTTGACCTAGATTTCAGAAGGCTGGGGAGACCAGAGAGTATGCCCCTGAGAGGGCAGTATGTGTAGTTATGAGCAGAAGCCAAAGGTGCAGTGTAGACTGCAGAATTTTGGAGAAACCAGGAGTGTGGACTATCTGAGGAAAACTGCAAGGACAGAGCAGAATCAGCTCAAGAGAGAAGCTCTGGGAACAACAATTATCTGCAGTGCCATGGGAGCACAACCCTTTGGAGTTCACATCTCGACAGACTGACTTCGCTACTGCTTATGAAGCTACAGGACTTTAATGTTTGCCTTGCTGAACTTTAGACTTGCTTTAGTCCATTCCTTCCTTTCCCCTTGTTTGTAACTTTTGGAATGGAAATGTTTATCTTGTGATGGTAAGTTGGAGACGTTTAACTTTCTTTTCATTTGTACAGGGGTTCACAGCTAACTGTGCCTTAAACCTCAGAGAAGACTTAGAACTTGGACTATTATTGAATGCTAAAACTGCTAGGACTTCGGCAACTCTTGGAGACGGACTACAAAACTGTTGCATAAAGGGATGTGCATGAGCCTTTGGGGTCCAGGCACGGCAATCCCTGTTTTGCATATAGATGTTTAACCAAAGCATCAAGCTTTCATAGGGCTTTTCCTGGGTAGATTAATCTAGTGTGTGATGCTGGGATTAGAGATGTGTCATTACTCAATCAGTCCACTGATTGGTTTGGCATCACCCTAATCCAAGTAGTCTGGGTAAGATAGAAGGGGCAGAAAGATGCTGCTAAGCCTCCCTGGTCGCTTTTGGCTACCTTGTGGGTGGCATGACTGTTTTACTCTGTGTTTCTCCACTTCCAGGCCACTCTGCTTGCAGCCAGCCAATTATAGACTGCAACCTCTACAAACTGTGAGCTAAATAAACCTTTACACTTTTAACTTTAGGTTTCAGATATTTTTTTCTTAGCAATGAGAAAAGCAACTAAGGCAGTAATCATAAGACAGAGTATTTGGTGGGGACAGAGGCAAGTGAATAGCCAACTACAGAGGGTTGATGGCAGAGTTCAGAATGCCAGGAGGTCTTGGAGAGGGACTCAGTGAACTGGGCCATAGCCCTGAGAAGATCTGCCTTAGCATATGCTTCAAGTTCTACCCTGCAGACTGGTGGACTAAAGAACCAGAAAGCGCAAGGGGGAGATGGGCGGGGTAAGGAAAATGACTTCGGGCACAGAATGCACAGCCATGAAAGTATACAAGGTGTTTTCAGTACAGCTGCGTAGGTTGGAGGGCAGTGCTGTCCTGGAGGCAGCTGTGGAGATGGGCAGGAAGGTCAAGAAGGGACTATGCTCAGATCGCACAAGTTTTACCCTGAAATTTGCTGGGAACCACTAAATGAATCACTACAGAGGAGAGTCAATTTCAGAAATGGCTGATAATTAGCAAAAGAAACCATCGAGATTCCTGAAACAGGAATTCTAGTCAGAGTCACCCACAATTGGATAAGATTTTCTACTAGATAAAGAAGGGTGAAATTCAGATTAGAAACTGATTCACACCACAGCTTGCTCACTTGCAGATGAAAACAGGGTTAAGCATAAAATGGCCTAAATATAAGGAAGGATTTCTTTCCTTTTTTCCTGTGAAGCACTGAGCATATACAGCACACAGATCAGTGGGGGCGACTCTATGGTACACATGCCACAGCTGGCATGCAAATCCTTTCCGGTCAGTGTGTGAGCCAGACTGCCCTACCAGCTGAGCTTTGGATAACAGTTGTTTCTGCTAAACTAAAACCTCAGTATGCATCTTTAATTACATTACTGGCCCTTGGTGATAAATAAGTAGGTTTTGGGGCTGCAATTTAGGGTCTTGGTCGTTAAAATTTTCAACATCCGTGACATAAACAGTAGATAATAGATAGTATCTGCATAGAAAATAGGCTTTATTATTTATCACAAATATTCTACAAAATTTCTTATATTGTGATTCAATGCTTGACTCTGTATTTTAATGTTTTACATCATTTCTATGAACACATGTCTGTACACAATGACTAGTATCTGTGCGATTTTGAGTTCAAATGAGGGAGCTAGACCATCTGAACTGCAGTACTGTGGATTTGTTTGGGGAGATGATCTTGGCTAACCTGAGGCTGCTAGGTGGAACCATACTGGCCACGTGTCGAGTGGTGTGTGATGCAAGGGAGCATGAAGATGGAGAAGCTTAGGTCTGCCTCTCTTCTTTCTTTCTTTCTTTCTTTCTTTCTTTCCCACTCAGGACCTTGTACTTGTCATGAAGGCACTTGTGCCACTGAGCCATCTCCCCAGCACTCAGGCATTTCTTAAGGGATCTACTGTCTGGCTTTAGTGTCATTAACCAGCACAAGTGAAAGTGTGTGCAAGGTTCTATTTGGAGTATGTTTATGCAATAGTCTAAAAGGGTATTTTCTCTACGTAGGTGAATAAAGAAGGGCAAGCTTAATAGGAAGACAATATTCTATTTGAGAACGGAAGCACACTACTTAAACTCTTTAGCAAGACATATAAGACTCTCATTAGTCATGGCTTGCCTATCAGCCAGTGTCCTCCCTTACTTTCTATAATGACTTACTGTTACTGAAGTTTCTTAGATGATGCTTTCTTTTAAGTTCTTACATACAGCTACAAATAAGAGCAAACATGTTCACTTGTTGCAAATCCTTTCAGCAGCACTAATGTAGGTGTGCCCATTTTATGGGTAGAAAACTATAGTTTAGAGAGGTCAATTCATTTACTCAAGGTTATGAAGCTGATAAATGCCACAGCCACAATAAGAATGCTGTTCCACAAGCATCTTCCCCCTGTGGTCATCTTCTTTCTACTGGCTCCAATAGCTCTGTGGGCACCTTCTTCTGTTTCTAGCCATCCTGCCTGGGTTGTGTGTCCCTCTTCCATGAACCTACAAGGAACCACACATACCTATCAGAGCCCTGCTGACGGTTTCCTCACACATCTCCCATAGCAGACCGGGGCTTGTTCAGGACATCAGCCATGTCTTCTGTCGCTATATTTCTACCGTTCTCAGCTGAGCAGATGCTCAAGAAATATAACTGAGTGAATACTGACAAGATTTGACTTGAAATGCCTTTGGAAGGTTCGGAACCCAAATAAAACCAGAATCTTTCCCTATGGAACCTGGGGCAGAGATGAGGTGGAGGCAAAGAAGAGAAGTATCAACCACAATGTTGGTCTAATTTGCAGTGTGTGTGAGTTACTGCTGGATAAGTAAGCTAGCAAGACAGGGATACTCCTCTGAAGCCTTCAACACAAAGGAGGCCAGTGCAACACAGAGAGTGACAGGGTGATGATATGGCAAAGACAGAAAGTTCTGGATCAAAGGGGATGGGCTCAAATCTTGGCTCCACCAGTGAGAAGCTGTACGGGCTAACATAAATGATATCACCTTCTAAAGCTTGACTCTTCTTTATGAAATGTAGATGACATCTGACAGTCGGAGAATTCATTAAACGTACAGAAAGCAATAACCACACGCTTGGTCATTAGGACCACTTGCATCTACTATGTTATCTGATCTTACTATTATACTGAGGAAATTGCAAGTACGCTTGTTCTTCCGAGATGGCAGGGGGCTCTCAGGCTGGTTTAACTCCTGAAGACATCTCAGGAGACAGGGCATCGGGCCAAGTCCTGAAGAATGGGGGTGCTTCTGTGCACAAGGAAGTGGGGTCTACTAGTCCATCCCCACATCTTACAGACATCTGTATTCCCCGAGGTGACTTCACTGTCACACACAGCTCATGCTGGAGGACTGCGGTCACAGGAGAAGGCAAGTGGGAGAGCAAGGCTTAGAGGGCAATGCAGTGTGCTCCTGGGATAACAGAGGCCGGCTAGATCCCGCGGCTCCTACAGTGCAATGGGAAGACGTCAGTGCGGGCAGGCATGAAGGGACTGAGAGAAGGCCTGCACAGTCAACAGAAGAGCCCCCGTTTAATAGCATCCCTCAATTTTCTGGCTTCGATGCATCTTTAAAACCTGACAAAGCCTGGTTTCTTTTTTTAAAAAATGAAAATAAACATAAAGCCATATGGAGTTAGATCTGAAGAACATCTGAGGTGGACTCTCTGCCTATGCATAATTCTTGATGTAAAAAACGTCTCCCTTAACAGAACTAGAGAGATGGCGGCATGGAAGAGACAGAGCAGCCCTGACAGGCACTGCCCAAAGAGGAAGGGGCTGGGAGCCGCAGCAGCAGGTGATCTCCAGAAGCCGCAAGGAGCAGGGCTCTGGTCCTCCCCAGAGTCTCCAGGATGGGAGGAGGCCTGCCTGCCTCCTGGCTGTGCTCACTGCCAGAGTTCTGAGCCACACACAACTGTCAGGTAAGAAGCTCTTTGCTGAATAAGCCGACCCTGCAAACAAACAAACAAACCAACCCCAGCAGTTTATATTGAGTATATGATACTCCAATTCTAGAAAGTTAAAGAACTGAAACTCTAAAGAAAGTAGTGGACGATCTCAATGTGATCACACGCTAAAGAAGTGTGGCACATGCCACACTCCCTTTCTATGCAAGAAAAGAGGCCAGAACACGAAAGCAATGACAGGAAGCACAAACCGATGATCTTACTTGTTTCAGTCTATGAGAAGGTTGGAGAAAATGGTTTTCTTTCTAAACATAATTATTTCAGTTAACTTTGGCTATTAAGAAAAAAAAAGGTCATGTACTTCTCCTTTATGTTAAGTATGCAAAGTCAATGTTGACAACTCAGTTTCACAGGAGACTGTAGTGCTGACAGCTTATAAGAGCCTCACACATTCTCTCACTTAATGCTTATAGCAGCTGCATCAGATAAACATCATTCTCATGGTGCTGAGGTACAAAATGAGACCTAGCTTAAGTCACACAGTTAAGTGGCAGAACTCAAATATAAGCAGTGAAAAAGTGAGATGCTCAGTGTGATCACAGCCATTTGGATGCTCGAGAGCAAAGCAAGAGTATCTGAAAAACAAGACCTAATTAATAATACTTTCCTTTATTTTTTTATTTTGATTTACTGATTTATTTTTGTGGTACTGGGGATTGAACTCAGGACCCCGCACTTGCCAGGCAAGTGCTTATTCTACTGAGCTGTCTCTCTGGCCCCAGTACTTTCCTTTACAGAGCTTTTCTTTGTAGAACTCTAGATTGCTTTTTTATAAATTAAAAAAATTGATAAAACTTCTTTCATAGTGTTTATCTTATAAAGGTAATTATTTGTTTTGCAAAATGCAAAAAGCTGTATTTTCATAAAAGCAGGCCCACTTACATCCCTGGCATTGTTGTTCGTGCACACAGATGTAAAGCAGTAAGACTGGGGTCAAATGACACACTAAGTTGGCAAACAGCTGTTTTTTAACTTAATAATCAGGAACCCTTTTTCATATCATAGACTAGCCAGCTGCATTCCGACTGCAGAAAACGAAGGGTGGCAGTGCTGGCGTGGCCTGAGCCGGCATCTCTGCAGCTCAGGACCACGGCTGCGGTCCGATGGCTCCCACGCAGGAGCCGGACCCCTGCCTTGGGGCTCCACTGAGCCAAAGGGCACCTACCTGGCTTCACTCCGTCACAACCAGATCCTCTGCCATCCCAGACATTTCCTAAGAAAAGAAAAGATTGCTTTTTTACTCAACGAGAAGAAAATGCCTCAAAAATAAAAAAAATTAAACAGTTTACACAATCTACAATGCTTAAGCAAAATGATTAAAGAATAACTTTATTAAGTATTTGTCATTTTTAAGAATGCCCTCAATTACTAACTAGATACTGTGTTACAAATAACTAGTTATGAGGTTTTACATTTGTTTAATAGGGAATAATTGGCCCCAATTAAACTCACTAAACTAAGGCTTTTTAGATTACTAAAACCAATTAAACTTTTTAAAATGAGAATTTAGGTGATCTTAAAACCTTTCTAAAATGGATACTGAAACTTGCTACGTTGTAATCGCCCTGGTTTTATTAGTTATATTAAGATAAATTAAGTGAGATTAAAATCTTATTTGATTTATTTACCTTTGAAAATGAAGACCGTTTAAGGGTTACACATCCTCAGCCTTGGCGAGTACGACCTCAATTGGGCAAGTCAGAGTGTCTTTAAAAGCTTTGTGCTTATGGCTTCCAGCATGGAGCGAGGTGTTCATTAAGGTACCAAAAGTCTCATAAAAAATCCAAAGTTGCACTAGTGAAAAAATGCTCAACACGATGAAAACTGATCACATCTTTCCCAGAAAATCCAGTAGTTATTTTAAAACCAGTTTTTAAACAAGATTTGGCTGTGGTGGTTTTAACGTGTCATTCACGCAGCTTGATACCATTTGGACTCTTTAAACAGCATTTAAATCTACGGTGAGCATAGAATGGTACATTTAATTTTATACCACTTTTAAAATAACTTGTACAATATTTAGTGTGACCCTTTTATGACAAGCATTGTTAAAGGAATTCTTTCCCTGTTTACGACTATTTATGAAGGCCTTTTTAAATAAGCAAAACATGAAACTGTTAGCTCACACACACGAAATTTCTTTCAAAAGTTTATTTAGTATCAAGCAAGAGGAGACTTTGCTTAACACTACAGAACATTTCAAGACTTGAGTTACAAAAGAATACCACATTATTTGCACTTGTAATTGGCTTCCCTTTTTACGCATGTTGGCAAGAGAAAAAGAAAAAACTAGCATATGTCTGAAAGATAAAATAACTAAATTCTATGGAAAACCTTTAAAATGAAAGTGAGGCTTATATTAAAAGAATGGATTAACATATTTAGTAAACCTATTTTTTGTTTAACACTAGTTAATCAAAGTTATTTTTCTCCTTTTGATGACCTATTTTTTCATATACAGACTGGAAATAACAAAATTTTACATGTCCTTTTTTTCCTGACCAGGTTGATGTTTCAACAAAGTAGTTTTAAGTTCCATCCATTCAGATTTTAAGTATTTTGATTTATTTAAAAAGGGATTGTTCATAGAAAAAATTACTTTGAACAGTATACAGGATGGTGGAGATTGGCTATTTCAGAACATCAGACAGTACAATCAGTATCTGCCATATGGCTGGTCCCTGTAGACGCCCTTCGCTGTCCTCGCTGAAGGTGCCTTGTGTCTTGAGTTAGTCCACTCGTCTTGTCCTGAAATAAGGAAGATTAATCACAATTAGATCATCGCCATGGGTTCCACTGGCACCATTTGTCAGAATCCCGCTTCACCCTAAAACAATGGTAGATGTCATATTGAAGATATATATCCCTGATGTACTGATAAAAGAAACACAAGATAATTTACTTTTAAAAAATTGCAGAGTGGGAAAACAACTGTGTCATTATTGAAACTATTAGGAGGGTGAGAAAAATGGTCTCTGTATCTGAAATGGCAACCAGCTGCACAAGAACTTTCTGCTTCCCACTCACTCAAGTAAAACTACCAAGCTTGTAGAATAAATCAGGAAACATTAAGACCTTCTGAGTGGGAGTGAGACTGACAGGATCACATACATCTCTTCGAACAGTGAATAAAAAATAAAATAAAAAACTACACAGACAATGTATAGAAACAAAAGGAGGGAAACGAAAGCAGGATGGGAAGAGACTGAGAAGAGAAAGGCTGCCATCCTTTTCCTAGGTCCTTTCACAGAAAGACTATGATAAAGTTGCTTTGGGTGGAAATTTACACCTCAATAGCCTGAGCTAAGCTTGATGGCATAAACTCAAATTTCAATCAGTACAACACTAAATCCACACTGGAAAATGGCACTAATGACAAAGGGTATCTGATCATCTTTACATCCTGAAATCAACACTTGTTCAGCTTCAGAAGTTTCAGGGAGTTACAGGTCTTTGACATCAAACAGTTAACTTTCTGCTGCAACACACAGCAATTTAAAAGCCATGTGTCTACAGAGACCAATTTAAAAAGCTGTGAAAGAAAAATGCTTAAAATGACCTCTTCTTTTGATAGGAACATGCAATCAACGTCATTCCCTCAAGCTAACTTGCATCAATTTGAGGAGACAGCATTCAGCGAGCCAATGTATTTCTCTTAAGTGTTTGTTAAGGATAACAACAACAACCAAAAAATTCCAAGGCGCGGTCATCACAGCTTCAGGCAGGTGATACAACAAAAAGCACTTCAAAAGGAGCACTGGAAAATGGTTTTGCAGTTATGTTCAGAGAAATGTCATAACATCCATTAACTGCGAGCCTGATTTGCTCACACTGGGTACTAGGCAGGCACTCACTCTCAGAGCTTTGTAGCTGATTGAAGCTTCATGTTCTCTGATGTCTTTGCCCTGAAGCAAAGGAGCTTCTTACTAGCATTTCATTTGGCTTCCACCAATTCCTTTAATTAGATCCGTCATCTTTCTGCATATGGAAACTTTGGACATGGACCCCTAGACTGGCTACCAGCTGCCCTCAAGTCAGGAGGGGTTCAGTTGTCTTCCTCTAGCTCTGACCACCCCCTGTGCTGCTCCCCACCTGAGTTCTCTGCAACCTTTAGGAAATGACTCCCAGTGTGATTTCTTCAGAGGATTTGGGGCTAGGCCTGGATTGAAACATAAAGATGGGGGTGGGAGAGCACTTTAGTGTTGTGGTCTCAACTACTTTACTTCTTACTAAGTTAGAAGCAAGGACAGTTAAAAAAGTGACAGGAGTCAAGTGTCAGCAGTCTGCCCAACCATTTTATTAAGTGAGAAAGATCACCACATGGCCATCAACCCAAACAGGAAAATTTAAGTTCAGAATGTGAATTTATGAAATTCTCTGCAAACATTAAGCTTCCTTTCAATACAGAATTTACATACTAAAAGATCCCCTGAAGATAGCGGCACACACACAGAAAAGCAGAGAAGGAGCCTGTTGTTTGACAGCCACAAGAAACAAGGCTCCCCTGCTCCGTGGCTGGGAGGCCCTTGCACACAGCTGTGCTCTCTCTCCGCATGCGCATTCTGGCCACACACTCACCATAGGAATCGTAAGTCTCCTCGCTGAGCCCGTGTCCATAATCATAGTAGTCAGCGCCACTGTGAGGAGAGAAGAAAGCATGGTTAGCACAGGATGACTGAGATTATAGCTAACAAGATTTTCTAAAAACTAAGTAAACAAGACTAATAAAGAGGAGAATAAATTTCTACTGAGATGGCAGAGTCCTAAGATAGAGGCCTTAGACTTTGCCAAAGACCCCTCATAATTCTCCAATTTTAATACATCGCAGTGTATTTGCCATGGTCACCACAATGACTGCTGCTCTCTCAGAACACACGGTGCTGTCCAGAGTCCAGGAGAGGAACCGGGGCAGCATCTGTTGTGGGGAGTGCACGGGCACAGCCCGTGTGTGCACAGCCCCAGGACTTGTGCCAAGACCTAGGGCTGGGCTGGTGCCAGAGCTGTGGCGCAAGCACCACTTCTTCCAACAGATGGAAAGTGTTTCTTCTTTGTCGCTTAGACATCTACCGAAGAACATGGTGCTGTGTGCACTATGGGCACTTCACACTATGGTATGTTAAAAAGGACTGCGAATGATTGATTTCACTGATGCTACTGAATTACGGGTCGGTGGTGAGTGACATGAGCCTGAGTGAAAGCAACTGTGTGGAGAAGGACAGTAGGTGAGCGACCTCTGCGGTGTGGACACAAGTACAGCCTGATCTATGTTCTGACCAACAGCGTCCTTGAGACACCAAGAGGAGCGAGCCTGCTATCACTATGGCTCTGGAAATCACACAGAGTCATACGGGAACTGAGCCCATCTTTACGAGTCAATTTATGGAGAAGGCAGATGACCAGATCACTAGTGTTCGGATACTCTGAAGAAGAACCTCCACTCAGCCTCGCAGGCTTTCTGCTTTCCTCTCAACTTGAAGTCCAATATGAAAGCATTGTCAACAAAGCTGTGTCCTTGCTTGTCTCAGTATGCGGTGGGGTTGGGGGGAAGGGTAAACCACTACACTGCTGCTGCTCCTGCCAAAACCACTTCTATGCAGACTTTATCCTAAATACCACTTCCCTGAAAGGCTTCCCAACCCTGCTGCTGGGCCTGGTTCTCTTGCAGCATGTCTTCTATTCCTGTTTTTTATGGTCCTGGCCAGGAACACTCAGGAGCCAGTAAGTACTCGGGAGTGGGGAGGGATGTCTGTACACCTCTAGTATAAAAAAAACCAGTGCTGCTCAGAGAACACAGTACAGACATAGTGTTCTGAAGACCAGGATGACAGAGTGAAGACAGGAAGGAGGAGGAAGGAAGAGGGGCCCCGGCAGCAGGCAGAGCACAGAGGTAGGAATCGAGTGGGGAATCCCAGTGTCTCCCAGCATCTCATCACAGATACGTGCTGATGCATTCTCTAGTGTCAAAGGCTTCCTCTCTGTGTGAACAGACGGCATGCAGCGTTCACCCTGCCCCACTAGTGAAAGTGTGGCAACACGCTGGCTGTGGTGCGAGTGCTCTGCACGGGTGTCCGGAGTGGGTGCTGGACTCCTCGGCTCTCCCAAATGCTGCCCAGTCCCCAGAGAGCCAGCACTGTAGCTGCTCACCCTACTAAATGGCCCTCCCACTCTCCAGGGAGGAATGCAACGGTGGTGAGCAGACCACTGCCACGCTGACAGCTTCTCGTGGGCCTGGCCTCATCAAAAAATACGTTTTTATGGACAGAATGAGGGCCCCATGAGGCTGAGCTGCCCATGTGCAGGTGGAAGGCTCTACCCCTGCAGCTCAAAGGCTGCGACCACCACGTGTAGTGCAACTGCGTCCAGGAGGTGTCTGCGCTGCTTGGGCTGTCAGCTCCCACAGCCCTTCCTCATGCCTTTACTGAAGTCTGGACCGAAGAGAGGCTCGCTGCCCCGCAGCCATAGCAATCCGAGACCCCGTCTCAGTCTTCTTTGGTCCTGAGCCTTCCCTTTCCTTCTGTCCTCCTATTTCTCTCTCTCTCTCTCTCTCTCTCTCTCTCTCTCTCTCTCTCTCTCTCTCTCTCTCCCTCCCTCCCTCCCTCCCTCTCTCTCTCTCGGTGGAACTGGGGATTGAACTCAGGACCTTGAGCTTGCCAGAGAAGTGCTTAT